ATATATATAACCAAGATCATCCTTTTCATCTTTTTCCTGTTTTGTATATATAATGAATGTCATCTTTAAGACCACTGAAAATATTAAAAATTAATAAAGAGTTTCTGTCTGCTCTTACATGTAAGAGTGTTATTATTTCTGGTTTCTCAACATCTACATTATGAAATGACCTATATGTTAATGAGTTATAACATAATATAATATAATATATACTTTTAAAATTTATATATTTTATGTATAATTAAGATTTCAGAAATCAATTCTGGATTTGTATCAATTCAAGGGTTAGTAAGCCATAATTTCCACAATGATTTTGTGTTTATCAAAAGCAAAATGACAGATATGTTTTGATAAAAAAATTAGATTTTGAATCTAATAGAAAGACATTTCCTAAAACCTGAAATGCATCAAATTTGAGGAATAAAAATAACATTAACAAATACTATAAAATGAGGACATAACTTGATGAGTAAGATCTGATACAAATAGTTACTTGGATTGCTTTTAAACTTATGTTGTTTAATTAGTGTAATTATGATCTTGTACTTGCAAGATTTTGTAAGCTCTGCATACAACTAATTGGAAAATTCTAAAGCGATAAATTCTATTTATAAACTTATTGATAATTTACATGTTTATATATATACAAAACTTCTAAAAGAATTCATAAAACTAGAAAATTGGAACATTTTTAAATAATTATAAATAGAAAGTATGTCATAAAAATACAACAAACATAACAAAAACAAAGTTTTAACATGAAATATTTCGACCAACGCTTCATTATCAATACTTTCAAAGAGGATGATATATGCCATTCTCCAATAATTCCAGAAATGATCAGCAAATTTTGTAAAATAGAAGAACGCTTGAATAATTACACTCAGAACCTATGAGTGAACAATAAGTATATATATATATATATATATATATATTTATAGGTATTGTTTACTTACAAACACCAAAAACATGTGCTGTTAGCAAACATGTTTACTAATTCTCAAACGATCCATCCCCAAAATGAGAACCAACGACAAACACGAAACGAAACCACTAAACATTCAGAATCGTATCATGATTTTTCTCGTAACCAAGCAACAATTGTACACATTGAATTGAGCAATGACGAATTAGCTTCCAACCTCAACTGTGTAGTAATCACATACAGGAACTGTCTCAACGAAGCAGACTCCTTCGAAGAACATCTACGATCACAGAAGTGCACGAAACCCGAAGATTCTCGAAGCTGATTGGAACCGCACCGAACCTAGCAGCATTGGAAGCTTCCAACATTCGATTGTGTACAAACTGAATATGAATTTTGCTTAGAATCAAAAGGGGTAGCTATCGAATTGAAACGTTGCAGCTCGATACTCCCTTAAGAAACCTTCACCTCCACTAACACTCAGGCAATGTCTTGGTTTCCAGGTCTCGGGGACCAGGCACTCACTCACTGCAGAGAAACTTGCAGGATCTGGTTGGTGTCCACAGCGGACGGAAATCCGTGCTCTCACACGCACGCAACCCTTGCGGAGCAGTCTCAGGATCTTCCGCAGTGGTAGACTCCTAACAAGTTCTCGGCAGCTCAGAATCCTGCAGGATCGACCTGGCTACACATAACAAACAACCTCACCGCCTGACTGATGAAGCTTTGGCGTGGGTTTTGGAATTGGACGTCCAGCGCAACTTCGACAAGACAAAAGCATTGATGTGCGAGGGAGTTCCCGGAGGAGCGAGCCCGGCAACGAGCTTCAAAAGAAGAGCGAGGAAGTGAGAGTGTAGCGATTGAAAGGGGAGGTGAGTGTTGAGGATCTGGAGCATGAAGAAGCAATCGTTGTGGGGCGGGGGGTAGAATCCGTGATCGATGTCACTGAATTGCATACCATGCATCCCCCCCAAGGCGGGGATTCATTTGCTGCTGTGCCTCTTCTACTACATTCCGATTGTGCGAGGCCTTAGTCTCCGCGTCGCGCCGCACCGCCGAAGAACGCTGGCCACGGTCAAGCGGCGCCCAGCAACGGGCCCACGTTTGGTGCTCACGCCGGTCGATGGATGACACAATCGTTGTCCCTGATTCATTCGTTCTCACATCCAAGGCCCCAATCACAAGAGTGGATTAAGATTTTATCTTGTGTTCGATATATTGTAACATATATATATATATATATATATACATATGTATATATTTACTTTCATAAAATAAAAATTTGATTTCATCTTTTATTTATCATATTTTTATGATGCAGTTTGTACAAGAACTATTGTGTCGCAAGAATTTTTAATAAATTATTACCCAGCATAATACTTCTAGCCAAATAATAGGTAAAAAGATTGTTTTAAATTTATTATTCTAGTATGTAAATACTTGGAAGAATGTACATTATGAATATGATTTAACGATCCAATGTAATAATAAAAATTCATGACTATTATTACAATTTTATTGATTGGATTTTGAAAGTTTTTTTTTTTTTTTTTTTTTTTCTTTTCTTTTTAATGTATTTACACAAGAAAAAAATTGTGTTGGTTGTGAAGGACAGAAATAATTAACACTCAAGTATTATAGATCATGTTCTATAAATATATATATATATATATATATATATATTTGATAATGTTTAAATTATTTATATAAGTAAAGGTGTTTATTTTTATGCATTGATTTAAAATTAATACATAGTCCACTCAAATTAATTAAATTGCATGATGGTTTCAAAAACTTGAAAATACTAATGTATTGGTAGTGAATACTTTTAGATTTTAAATCAAAATTTCGATTAACTACACAAAAACTGCACGTATATCAACATGCACTGTTAGATAAGCTGTTTAAATTGTTTGATATTAAATCAGTTTCAAACATTTTGTTTTTTATATTTATTTTTTAAAAAGCTTGAATGCACGTGACCTACACTCTAAATTTTATACCAGCATACTAGGTTGAAAATCAGATGTATAAATAATTGTTGAAATACCACAATATTATGTGTTACTGCCTAAATAATCTTCAATATGAATACAAGCTGAAAGTTTACTTTTAAAAAATACATAAATTGCATTTTGATTTTTTTGAATAAATTAAATCAAATTTCATGATTCAGTTGTTATTTTTTTCGTAATATATATATATATATATATATATATATATATATATTAATTATACCATTGCCAACTTTAGTGTAAAGTATACTAACTAAAATAAATTTAAAATCACTATTTCAAATACAATTGTGCAATGCTAACGTGATCACGAATCAAATGTAACTTGAAATAGACATTAAGTCCCATAGAAAATGTACCACAAATGATGAATAATTCAATCAACAGCCCAATTGTCCAATGATATATTCCAACCCCTATCCAAAGTTATGCCACATCAGACTGCCACGTGGGTGCCGAATATTGGATCAGCCTCAGTGAGACCCCCTGCACTCCATGACATTCTACTGATACCCGTGAAACCCCTTGTTACACGGCCACGTAGGCTCGGGTATAATGGTCAACACGAATTCGGGCAGGCATGGATTTGCTGTGACCTTCCCATGTTGCGAACAGGTTCCCTTCATTACTCACACCCTGGATCAAACTAAATTTGATTATAAAGTTTATGCATCTCATTATTGTGATATTATGAAATCATATCAACCTAAATGATACTCTACTCCTTTTTTTTGGTGAATGTGTTAAGATGTTTATCTTCACACGTGTTTTTTTCAAATTTTTCCAGGATTTAATACTCAATGAAATTAATATTTTTGTAAGCAGTTGCGTAGGTAATCCAAATAAAAAATATTATAAATAAAAAATACGAATTATATTTTATTTTTAGAAAAAATGAATACGTACGATGTTTCTCGATTTATGGACGTTTTCATAATTCGCTGAAACTGCACTATTAGTTCTAAATGTGTGATTCCATTAATGTAGATAAGGGTTAAAATTAGAATAGAACTGCACAATTGATTATTTATTTTTCAGTAAAAAGATGTTAATAATTGAATCTAAACTTCCAATTGAAATATAAAGAAGTAAAAATTAGAATATTACTAAGTTTATTTCTCACTCAACTTACTACTGAAAAGCTTCAAAGTAACGACGCCAAAAGTCTTATTTCAATATATTATCATTTTTTCACAAAAACTAATGAATTTGAGTGAGTACTGTTAGGAACAACTTGTGGTGATAATTTGTACGAACTATATGATAATAAAAAACCCAAACGGAAAAAGAAAATGGAAAAAAGAAAAAGAAAAATGACAAGCCACCGCTGAACGTGAACCCCAAAATGAGATAGAAAAGTGTCCATTCCCCAAACAACATCCAACACACACAATGAGCACCAATTTTCATCCAGAAGAGGGGATGATTCTCATATTCATCTACAGGGTAGTTTACGTTCACACTGCAACTATTCCATACAATATCACTATTTCAATCCCGCACCATACACGTAGCCCTCCTCCAGGGCATGGGTGCCTCCAAAGTAAAAAGTAAAAGTAAAAGTGGGGCACGTAGGGGAACAGAAGCAAAGGAACGTGGGGAACAAAAGGGGGGGGATCAATCTCCACCATGGGAATGATGGGCAAGGGGGGCCAAATCCTGAGAAACGAGCAATAGATTTGCAAGCCCCAAATAGAGTCAGAGAGAGAGAGAGAGAGAGAGAGAGAGAGAGTATAGGTCCTTTACCGGAAAGGGAGGGGGAAGCCACCACCATTATATCCAGTTGCGGAGGAGGGAGGAGGAGCACAGTGCAGAGTGGAAAAGCAGCGGTCCTACCAGAGCAGGGTAGCTATCCTCCAAGACCGACCCCGTCCCCTGCCAACTCATCTCTTTTCACTCTCTGGTACCCTCCCCCTGGTGTCCAGATCAGCCAATCGAGGGTGCCACGAGGGCGGGTCCCGCCACGCAGGGAAGTAAGGAAGGGTAAGATTGGGAGAGTGTGTGTTCCATGGCACTCTTTCTTCTCCCACCCCACCCCCATATCCCCCTCCCCATTTGATTCTTCCTCTTCCACCTCTACCACTTCCCTGCCCATGTGCGAGCTGGCTACTTTCCATGCAGCTATAGCGTGCTCATCTCCCCACCCCACCCCCACCCCTACACCCTTTCCTTCCTTCCTACACCCACATCCCCTCAAGTGGCTTCCCGATGCCATCTAATTTCATACCCACAGTCTTGCCGGAATTTGTCTAGGTTTCCCTACAGATGACGGGTTCCCTTTCTGATGCTCTTGCTTCTGCGTCGTCGTGGCCAATATCACTCATGATGTGCTAGCACTGTGTTTTTGTTGTTGTCGTAGTTGTAGTTGTAGAAGTAGTAGTTGTAGTAGTAGCTTGCAAGTAAGGTTTGAGGGGGAGTTTAGTTTGGGTTTGGTGTACTGAGGAGGAGTTTGAGTTCCAGGAAGTGGAGATTGTGTTGAGAGGTGCAATTGTGTGTGAGAGATTATGTGCTCTGTGGTGAGGAGGAGCTTCAGTGTGCAGCCGACTAGTTTGCGAGTGATCCCTAGTTTTGCAGAGCATCGCATGATGAAAGACGTGTCGCAGAGTGGGCTGTATTCTAACATAGTTTCGGCGGATCAAGGAGGAGGGTGTATGCTGGTAATGCACCCGGTGCTAGCCGCATCCACCAAGACGGAGCACATAATGTCTAGGTATCGACCCATCGCGCCGAAGCCCGTGGCCAAGGGTGAGGGTGCCGCCGATCAGGCTGACACGCATTCGATATCGTCGGTGTCGGCGGATAATAGCACCACGAAATCCTCCACTGGCACGGAGTATAGGAAGCGTTCGCGCAAGCGACCGCCAGATGGGAAATCGTCTGGTGCTGGGAAGAAGACGCGAGGAGGGAAGAGTATGGCGGGATCAATGACAGGGAAGAGTGGTGTCGTGGAAGGATGCAACTTGGACTTTCAACCTCCGGGCTACAATCTCACCCCTATTTTCCCTGGGGCCGTAGCTCGGACGCTTGGCCATGACGGATTTCAGCGGTTTCAGGAAAGTTTTGAAAACACTCAAAGTGGAGTCTCCGTTTCGCTGTCTTTGTCAGCAAAATCTCCACCTCAAGAGGTTTGCAACGAGCAAGGAGTTTCAGGCTCTTTCAACACTCCTTTGCGATGCGGTCGAGACGATTTGGGTCTCAAGATTGGTGCTTCGAACGCTGATGGGCCCGAGAAGGATTTGGGATTCATGGAGCGGGCGGCAGCTACTACCCCGCCGTCTCTGCTTTCTGGGGAGCATTCAAACACGGTTTTGAGAAGAGAGTCCAATTTTTTCGGTGGTCCATCAGCTTCCACCAGCTTTGGTGCTGATAGTGACCAGGTATGCTCTCGCTTGTTTGAGCGGACGACGGCGGCTAATACCCATTCTCTGTTCTCTGCGGATCGTTCTAACACGGCTTTCCGCCGAGAATCCTTTTTTGGATGTCCTAGCCTTTCTTCCAGCCACTGTGCAGATAGCGAGGTCTGTTCAGCTGAGAATGCAGCTGATAGTAGAAAAGAGAATATTGTTACCTTGTCTCTACTTCCCACCACTCCCTGTTTTTTGAACACTCGCTCTTCGTCCTCGAACGCGACCTCCTCTCTTGCTCGCTCTGACATTCGATGGTCATCCGGGAGAGAAGCCACTCAAAGCAGCGGCGATTTGAACACGAGCCTGACCATGTCAAGCAAAGGCCGGTGGTCAGACGAAAGCACAACCCTTGGCGGGAGTGCAGGAGCTCCTGAGAGCTTCCGGCCCTTAAAGGACCGGACACAAGAAGCATCTCAAGGAGACTCAGGAGTGCAAGTGGTGGACGCTTACTACTTGGAGCAGAGGCATGGTGGATCGTCCGAGGCGGTGATGTTAACTGATGAATTAGATAGGAGAGTGCTTTGGGTCAATTCGGCGTTCAAACGATTGTCCAATGAAAGGATGAGCAGCCGAATGCAGGTGTGTATGTCCGGCTTTCTATCTACATTGGTGTATGTGTGTGTGTGTGCATTTACATACATGCTCGACCTAATTCTGAGCTTCTGGTGGACGGTTAAGGTGGCTTCAATTACTAGTGATAGCTTTTCAATTCCAGTGAATGGTCTTTCCTGTTCTCGGTCTTTTACTGGGCATGCTCTAAGTCTCTCTTTTGTTGATTCAGGCAATAGGACCATACATCGATCCATTAGGAATTCGCACACAGCTTGCGTATTTGTCGTTCCAGCCACCATTTCCTGCACCCAAGTGCAAGGCGGTACTATGGGGCTTCTTAAAGAAATTCATCATGCACGAAGGAGTTGCTCACAAGCCGTCCAATCTTTTTGATGGACAAGCTAAGGCGATTGCTCCACAAGCGACGGTGATTGCGCCACAGCCTGTGAGGGCCGTAGGGTCGACCATTACCGTCGAAAGCGTGGACTACTTGGATCCACATGCCGCTGCCTTTACGGAAGGCGTTGAATCTGTTCGGGAGAGCCTGGACAAGGGTGACATGCCATCAGTCATCACGGATCTAAGTTTTCGTGTGAGGTGGGTGAACACTGCCTACAAGAGGCTGGTTGGGCAACCGAAGTGCTCGTGGCTGGCATCCACAGTGGGCGGCACATCTGATGGTGAAGACTCCCCGGCGTCTCACCGACTTGCAGGGGATGTATTGCTCATTTGCGATGGTTCTCAATTACCAGATGGTATCGCAGCTTTCACATGTCGAGTAGGGATCAAATGGAGTCACCAGGGTGATCACTGTGCTACGGGTGTGACGTCCGAAGTAGTGAGGTTGGAAGACGAGACTGGTGGTGGATTGTATGTGTGGGGTTTCGATATCTGACCCAGCATCTAAAACAGGGTGTTCCCTTAGATCGAACGTAGAAGTCCTTATTGTGAATATATTCTTCCGGAGCTTTTTCCCTTTTCAATTATTTTTTAGCCTAGAGAGCCAAGATGTTTAAGATGTTGATAGTTAGCCAATGAAACTGTGCATGCGAAGACTGTTAGTGTCTTGTTCCTCTACGCAGACTATGATTTAGAGCAATTTTGTTGCACCACTCAAATTAAGTGACTGGTGGCAACCCGAGTCAACTTCTGCCTCTCGAACCATGTTATTCAAGCAATATATGAGATGTAGGCCATCGTTACATGTATATTTGAGCGGCTTGATTGTGCACCTGGAGATGGTGTACAGTGGCCCTTTAATAAATATATATATATATATATATATATATCGTTTTTCTAATTCTACTATATGGCTTAATTGGCTCGTCGTCCAAAGTACTAGATTGGAATGTTACATAAGTGCTAGATTGGAGTGTTACATAAGTACTAGATTTTTTGCGGTGACGAAGTATTACAATCAATTGCTAGCCTTCGAAGTTATCAATACCACACTGCAGTTATCTCAGTGCTTATCGACATTTGTCACAAGAGAATGGGAATGACACTCTTCACTCAACGGAGTGATAAACTTCGTCAAAGCAAGTATCGGAGGATGGAAACCTATGGGCCGATGTTCCAGAACCCTGAAGCTCAAAATATGCTTGATTCAGATTGCAGTAACTAGAATTTCATTCTCACTGCAGGAGGAATTAAGATCCAATACTATCCTAGAATCGCTTCGACACTCTCGACATGGTATCCGAGGGTGGAAGTCCGCCCTTTGACCCTATCAGGCGTCCGACCAGTGCACCACTTCTCCCAAGTGGGCTCATCTAAATCGAGTCCCGAGACAGCTGACGAATCGAGACACCCAAATCATATGCTCTGCACCCAAAGCACCACAGCCCCACCATTCTCACATTTTCCACACTCTCACCCCCGAATCAGCAGTTCCGTAATTCGCTTTGGTCTTTCCGTTTCCATCAAACTTCTCCCCTCGGGAGCCCAACCCATTAATAAACCTCGTAACCCCGCAGCCAACAGGCACTCAGGCAGCACCCTATCCAGACTCACGTTACTCCACCCACCGTCATCATTGCCCAACGCCGACGCGGCACATGAAAATACCATAATGTAAATTGTACCGTTTCAGCGTTACTTGCATCGGCACCGCTGGATTGGAAGCTTTTCTACGGTGAAGCCAGAGCGGGGATCTAGGAGACCCTGCCAATGAGATGTGTAACCTTTGTTTGCAGTTCCTGGGTACTTAGCTTGCACTGTGTCATCAATCTCTGCTCTAACTTACTCGCGATCCTCGCATCTCGTCTTGCTATTTTGTTCTGGTTTCCACCTGGTGACACCGAGTTGGTATCGGGGCGGTGGCTTCTGTCGTGGATCTTGCCTTTTCCCTTGCCTGGTGGATGGTCTTTCCGCTCCTTCTGGCGCTCGAGGTCGGTTTAGAATCCTATTTTGTCTCTTTCGTTTCCATCGACCAGATCACCATGGTGTTATTCATTAATGCACCCACTATCGAAAGTTTACGTCTATGGCTTGCACTATTGAGAAGCTTTGGTTGAAGCAGAGATACAGTTTTTTTTATTTTTTATTTTTTTGCTATGTATGTGTAAACTTTTTCAGGTTCAGTGTTTTTTTCCACAAGTTGGCATGTACTTGTCATATGTCACGTCGTGGGCAGTAGAATATCATGTATTCCTACGTACAAAGCTTTCTTTAGCGCACTCTCGGACCTTGACAAGAGGATAAACACTAGTCAAAATCCTAGCTAAAATCGAACTCACATAGACGATGGCAACTAGACTTGATTGATGAAAAGGAAGAACCAATCTGGTAGGTTTCAAAATTAGCCGAGGTCGATAGCTGAGTTGTTGCTTTGAAATTGGATCTGTGAGTTAATGTTCGAATTCGAACTTATAATTTCGCCGTGAAAGGTAAACAAGTTAGGGATCTTGCATCAACGAAGCAGCTGACTAACCGTCAACTATGAGAAGCCAAATTTTTTTCCCTGGTTCGGCTCAGATTCCTTTCAAAGCTTGGAACGCGGTACTGATTTCGCATGTGGGCAATCCAAACGACGCAATCGAGCCACTAAAACCAATTGCAGAACTCAATCTGCTAGTTTTTAATCTGCTTAGTGAAAGAAGATGACAGGTCAGGCAAAACTGCGGACTGACATGCTGATAATCGCACCGACACAACCTTACATCTGAAGACATTAAACCTGCCTCACATACAATCATTTCAAATCTAGTGGGCAGATGATAAGCTCATCGAGTTCTGAACCAAAATAACGCCACCAGTCTGCCTCTGGAAGCGCCCCTCGAATCGCACGCAAGATGCTGATGCGACAACGCAAAGATGGAGCACCCCCAATAGGAGGGCCGCAATGGATAGCGCCTCAATGAAATCCTGCAACCACAGAGCTCCTTGCAGAAGCCTCCAATGGGGCGCCAGAAATTGGGTCCACCTTCGCAAACCCTCGCGACCTCGCCGATCGCGTGTCCATGCCAACTCGTGAGAATTGATGGAGCACCCCTTGCAGCCAGTTGGAAACCAGCCCTTGCAGACAATCCAACGATGGTGAAGCGCTTGCCGCATCTCGGCCGCAAGACGGCCGGTAATCGATCGACACGGTGGAAGGAAAAAGTACCAAGACAGGGGTTCAATGACAGTGGAGGCACATGGGGTTGTGATGGATCCAACCGATCGGTGCTGTTGGCGTTCGGGGATTTGCAGTCTGCCATCAGATCTGAAATCGGCGATCTAGAGGAGGCCATCTGTTTTGTCCGCCAATCGCATGCGCCGGGTGGTTATTCTCCGATTCGGGATTGCGGCAGCCGGCCCATGGGGGGGTAGTTTTCTAGTGTCGGTAGCAACTAGATGAAGTTGGTGATGGTCGTCGACACCTTCGTTGGTCTTCTCCGGTCCATGTTATCCATCTCTCGTCAAGGGATTACGGTCAGTGGATGAAATCGAAGGCATTCGACGGGGTATAGGAGGATGAAAGATAAAACGAAAGATCTGTGGGTGTTTCATGGGTTAGGTGTTGTGGACGGAGTGGATGGGTTTGACGACGGCAGATGCCATTTCGTCTACAAGGGGGACTTTCGCGGATGCTAGCAGTACGAAGGAGTTGTATTGGTCGTGCGATGATAGCGGTGCGGTGTTCATTGAAGGAAGCCGGCGTGAGAGCATGGGTTCGAGCACAACTGCCGGTAAGACGCAACTGCCACGGCGGGTGTGGTGGTTTGAGCGTGATGAGGTGGAGTTAAGGAAGGATGACTAAGCACGGGACGATCGTCATGTCTTGTGGACATACAAGTTTTGCGGATATCATGTAACAGTTGGGTGCTTGACCATGCACAGTGAGTGGGTGTTGACAATTGGCGAGTCAGAAATCAATGATCCAATGTTTGCGATGGAAGGCGCGCTACTTGTAGGAGAGAGTTGGACGTTCCATCGCCTAGTTCTTCGTGTTCGTGGAGGAACGTGGATGAGCAAGAAATTTCCATCGAAGGTTCATGTGTTGTAGTTCCCACATACCAGGGGAGTGTAGATGAATGCCCGACTTTGTGCAGCAAGTTTCGACTCTCCGGAGGGTATTCAATCTGATATCTTCTCGTCGGTCTTTACTCATCGGCAGCGAATGCTGCCCCTCAAGCTGAATTGATACGAACCTAACCAACAGCACGACATTCACGTTCCGAAAGCGGCTGCAGCTGCAGCGTCTATGTATGTCGATCACTTTCTAACCGTCCCTCGTTTGTGCGTTTTACAAACCCTTTTTCATTTAGAGAAATATGCGAGGTGTTTCACATCAAGCTATTCACAGCCTCGCTCACACTATATAAGTTGGAATGACCATCACAGAATAACGAACCTGGTCTGATTCCACCGCAAACTCTACACTCCGGCCTTTTTTCTCCGGAGATTTGGAAGCTCTTCCCTCAACATGAACTTTTTGACCACTGTTTGTCTATGTTGGAGCCTCTACGAATCACCACGCAGGAATGCAAAACAGCCCGAACAAGCAAGGAGCATCTTTCACGGTACCCAGAAGACCAGGAGTTTGCAGGTAGGCTAGACATTATGGTGATTCTGGGAGCAAGAGTCTGTGAGAAAACTTACTGTAATATTCTACAGTATCAGTCGTCTGTGGTTGGTACTGAACATGAGAAAGCTTTAATTAGAAACCAGTTTTGCTGCTCCTCTGCTGTGAGAATGTGAGACCGTAACGGTAGTGGAAGGCTGTGGGCATCGAATCCGCATCCTGCGCGGGAGCAATATGCTCAGCTTGTGGCTGATGGGGGTGAATCAACGCAACATCCATTCATTCGAAGTCGGCACACTGTGGTCCATCGCAACAAACAACGAACTGACCTTCTTCCTGGTCTCGAACACAATCAGTTCATGCCCTCGCAGTTCAAGTTTGTATGTATCCTTCAACGTCGAATCATGGATACAGTCGGTGGTGGCTCATCGACACTTCCTGTTTTCGTAAATTCCAAGGTCTTTTGTTAAAAAATCCAACTCCAGAGTCACCGCAATAAGAATCAGTTGTCGAATGAAAAACATTTATTAACACGACATTATTGACATGTAAGATTATAACGCAAAGAAAAAGAAAAAGAAAAAGAAAAAGAAAATTCATATGTTCAGAAAAGTCATCATCGAAACACTGTTGTTAGTATGTATCCATGTGCGTATACATTGCAAAATCTTGACACAATTCAAACTGCGTCTGTGAAGAGAATTTCTGAAGCAACATAATTTTGGTACTATTTGGTGAATTTTGCAACTTATTCAATGTTGGTTCGTTGTATAAATTAAATTGGAAACGATTATCCAAGTATATGTCATGGTACATGAAAATTATATCAATTTTACTACTAAATAGAAGTAAAACATGAGGGGTTGTCAAATTAAGAAAATATTTGGAAAACAATTGTTTGAAGAAAGTGGCATGGGTTAATAAGATATGGTGGATTAAAAGGTGGTTGATGCCCCTTTAAAGGACCTAATGCTGATGCATAAGTGAAGTAGAATATATTTCCAAAAGTTGTGCTATGATAGGATAATTAGCCGGTGGTTATAGTACAACAATAGAATGTTACAAAGATAAATTTTGTAATGTGGTGTAGCAGAGTGGTGAGACTGAACTCATATTTTGGCTAAGAAGGAGACAGGGTTGTTGATTTTGTTCTGTTTTGTAGATTTTGCATTTGTAAACTTGTAATTTTAAATATTAAACTGTTAGTAATTTCATATTCTTTGACTTCTCTTTTGGTAGATCAAGACCATGTACTGTTTTATGTTCTGTTTATATATA